CGAACTTCGCGTTGCCGATGCCTCGCTCCGTCGCGAGCTGTTCTGCGCGGCGGCGCTGCTCAGGCGAGATTGTGATGCCTGGTTTATCACAAAACACAAATCAAGATGAAACATGCATCATTTCGCTGCTCTGGCGAGATGGTGATGCCAGTCACGTCGGCCGAGGGGAACTTCTTGGCGATGTAGCGGCTAGTGCCGCCGATCCCGCAGCCGACGTCGAGCACCCTGCTCGGCGCCTACGCGGATGGGTCGAGAGGGCGGCTCGAGGACGGCGCAAGGACAAGTGTCCCCGCAAAGAAGGCGGCCGGCGCGAGCGGCGGCGCGCCTCCGTCTGAGAGAAGTCGAGCATGCGGTCGATGAAGTCGTACTTCGCCTCGACAAAGTCCTTGCCGCCGTACAGGGGCGCCTTACGCTGCCCCTCCTCGTAGTAGCCCAGGTGGATGTGCTCGCCCCAGTAGTACTCGAGGATGCCCTCCGACGTCCACGCATCGTACTCCTCTCCGACGGAGTTTATTCCGCCCGCCTCGCGCTCGCCGTCGCGGTAGGAGCGCGAGGGCGTATTGAACACCCGCAGCACCCACGCGAAGATCGTAGCGACCAGCGCCGTTGCAGCAGCACCAATGGCGAGCGGCCTCGACGCGAGCGCTGTCGCTGGGGCTGCGAGGACCGCCGCCGCCGACGCGTGCGGCGCGGCGGCGCGGCGTGGGCTGCGGGGCGGCGGCAGGCGCTGAGGCCGGACACCAGCGAGTGCGCTGAAGCCCGCAGCGGGGGCTGCGAGCGCGAGCAGCAAGCAGCTCCTCATTCAGCGCGATTTCTCTGAACCCTCTCACAGAAAAAAGAAAAGAGCCGAGAGAGGAGACGGGTGACCAAGAGGGGGAGAGAAAAGAGTTGTTAGGGTGAGGGTCGTAAGAATCAAAGCCTCTTGGTGCCTTACTTCGTCCTTTCAATGGTTCAAAATACACATAGGTGCATGTCCCTCACGCGGACACCTCCGCGCCCGCCCCCTTCTTCTCCGCCTGTCCCTCCGCACCGCTGCCCGCCGCCCCTCCCTGCTCCTTGAGCGCGGCCTCCAGCCTGCGCACCTTCGCGCGCTCCGCCTCAAGCGCCTTCCTCTCGCCCTCGACCTGCACCGCCCACTCCTCCTGCTGCTTCTTGAGCGCCGCGTGGTGCTCGGCGCGCAGCTTGCGCTCGAGCTCGCTCTGCCACGCCTCGCGGTCGGCGCGCTCTCTGGCCTTGCTGTCGCGATCCGCCACGCCGCTCCTCGCCTCCTTCAGCCGCCGCTCCAGGCCCTGCACGAGGTCGCGCAGCTGGTCATTATCATCCATCCAGCGGCCGAGCTCCTGCACGCGTCAGGGACGTGTCAAGGACGTGTCGCGCGGCCGGCCGTTCCCATTCGCCGCCCAGGCTCCTCATCGAGCGCCGCCCCCTGGCTCTGGATCGCCCTCTGCCGCTGCCGCAGCGCCGCCTTCTCCTCGTCGTGCTGCTGCTGCAGTGCGGCCATCGCCCCCTCCTTCTCCTGCCGCGCAAACTCGAGCAGCGACTGCAGCCGGCGCACCTCGCCAAAGTAGGTGCGCGCCTGCACCTGCAGCTCGCGCAGCCGCGTGCTCTTGCTCGAGTGGGCCTACTCCCGCCGTGCGGCGTGAGCAGCCGTGCTCACCGGGGCGTCTGCTCTCTTGTGCTCGAGCTCTGCCAGCTCGGCCAGCTCCGCCTCTTTGCCCTGGAGCTGCCGCCGTAGCTCGCGCACCTGCCCTTTCAGATTACGCAGCAGGTGCGCGTCCGCGCGGGGCAGGCCCGCCCCAATGGCAGCGACGCTCCCACTCGACTCAAAGAGGGCCGCCGCCGCAGGGTGCGCGTCCTCGGCGCTCCGCTCTGCGCGGCGGAGCTCCGCCTCGCTCCGCGCCGCCGCTGCTCTGAGCTGTCTGTTGTCCCGCTCGGCCTGTGCGAGCGCCCGTCTCGTCTGCTCCACCTGCTCGGCGAGCTCCTCCACTCCTCGCCGTGTCGAGCCAACCGGCTGCCCTCGGATGCGGCCTCCCGCAGCCGCCCCGCGATGTGCCGCGGCTTGGAGGCCCTTGGCCGGCGACCGCGGATGCGAGGCCGAGGCAGGCCTTCGACGCATCGCAACTGCAACGCTGGCAGTGCCGGTGGCCGTCCGCCGTGTCGCCGCGGGACGGGCGCCTGCGATGACTGCAGGCACATCGGTTATCCTCAATGGTGGCCTTGGGTCGGCGCCGGTGCGAGCAGCGCCGGTTCCCGGCGTACCAGCGTCGCCAATAAGCGAGGTCGGGTGGTCTTGGGTCGCCCCGAGAGCCTCACGCCTCCGCCGCTGCCGGTCCGCGATGACGTCCTCCGGACTCTCTTCTGCGTGCGGATCCAACCGCTCGGTCCCGCTGGCCCACTCTGACTGCGGCTCGTCATCATCAGAGATGGGCTGCTCGTGAACCGCGGGCCCATGCTGCTCGGACGCGGCGGGTGGCTCCTGCTCTGGTGGGGCTTGGGTGTCGCTCGCACTCATTCTTCAACGCGCGACGTGACTCCATAGAGATGTAGAGCGCTCTGGAGCGCTGTAGAGCTGTAGAGCTCTACATCCGCCGCGTGACGATGCGCCTCCGTTGTAGAGCGATGTAGAGGCGCTCTACAACGTGAAATCTCTACAACAAACTCTACATCATAAGCGGCGAACGAGGCACGGTCGCTCTCCGACATGAGGCGCGTTGCACTTGCCAGTGCTGCCCTGGCCTTCTGTCTGCCCGCCCAATGGGTAGGAGGTGCCTCTGCTGCTGTGGCATGCCTCACGGCTGCGACTGGCCGGCGCCTCGGGCTCGGCGCGTCAGCTCGGCTCGGCGTAGCGATAGTGGCCAGCGCAACTCGCCTGGACTCAACGCTCAGCCAGGAGCTCCCGCACGCGCTGGCGCGAGTCATGGCTCATGCAACGCTCAACAATGCTCACCTCGCCTCGCGCAAGTGCGACCGTCCTCGCAGCCGACAGTCCACCGCCTGCTAAAGAAGCACAGCGACGAATGCGGCACCGGCGACGCATGGCAGGCTGGTCATGACGCAGTTATAGGGTGTTGTGTGCCGTCGGAGTGACTCTCTGTGTGTCAGGGATAGTCAGGGCTGTCCATCAGAGCTCCAGTAAGCTCGGAGACACCCCATTAGCGCGGCTCGACCTCTTTGAGTCACTGCCTTGGCGGTTTATTGGCTGTAGAGCCTCTACAACAAACTCTACAGCAAAATCGCGCTCTCTCTACATCGCTCTACAACGCAGGCGCCTCGTCACGCGGCGGATGTAGAGCTCTACAGCTCTACAGCGCTCCAGAGCGCTCTACATCTCTACAGCTCTACAGCGCTCTACACTCTACATCCTCTACACCCTCCCTCAGGGCGACACCGACGAGCGTGGGACTGCCCCCCCCCCCCCTCTCGCCCGCGTGGTTTTCAAGATGAGGAGCGCGCCTCCGCACGCGACGGTGGCAGCTGCGCGCGGGCTCTGCTTCCTCCCACTGCTCTGCCGTATGGACCTCCGCGAGCACCTATCGGGGAAACCCATTGGCCCATCTCTCGACGGCACGTCGTCAACAGTGCTCGTGCGCTATATGTACGACGGTGGCTCCTTGGCACAAGGTCGCCTTTGCCAGTTTGAGCCCTCGAGTGCAGCATCGGCCACCGGCTTGGAGCTGCTCCGCTGCCTCGCAAATGACGGCGTTGACCTGACGCGGTTCTATGTCTGCGTCTACGAGACGATTGCCTCGAGAGGTTCGTGGATGCCGGTATTGCGCGACGTGGTTGACGCTGACGCCGACGCGAACGACGCCGCCGACGCACTCCTTCCTCTGTGCGCCGAGGCGCCTGATGGCTCTCCCGTGGCTCGCCGCATTGACGTCAAACTCTTTCGCCGCGCTGCCGCCTCGTTCGATGCAGCGCGCGCCGATCAGGCGGCGCAGCCATCGGGGAAGCTTGCAAAAGGCGGATACTTTGGGATCGGTGTAGTTGGCGCGAAGAATCAAGCCAACTTGGGCACCCTCTGGCGCTCGGCGTATCAGCTCGGCGCGAGCCTGCTCTTCACAGTCGGCACGCGGTACAAGAACCAGCCCACAGACACGGTGCACGCCATCCAGCGCGTCCCGTTCTTCGAACTGGATGACTGGAATGCGTTCGTCGAGACGTGTGCGCCGAAAGGGGCGCTGTGGGTCGCTGTCGAGTTCGGCGGCACGCCGCTCTCAGAGTTCGAGCACCCGCCCAACGCCATCTACCTGCTCGGCTCGGAGGACGCGGGCCTGCCGACTTCTGTGCTGCGCGCGTGTCATGCGACCGTCTCGCTGGAGTCGGAGAACTATGCATCGTACAACGTGGCCGTGGCGGGCTCGATCCTCATGTACGACCGGTTGGCCAAAGCACGACGCAGGCAAGAGTCGGCGCGGCTGGGCGTGCGGGGCAAGGGGACGCAGTGGTGGGCTGGAGTGTCGTAGCCGGAGATGCGCTGCAAATCATTTGTGTGCGATGTACCTCTTTTTTCACTCAGGAGCCCGCCGGTCGCGTGTTGCGCCTCCCCAGGCCGTGCCGCAGGCGGCAGCCTCTGGGGTCCCTGCGCGTGCGCCTGGGGTGCCCCTGCTGCACGGCTTCGAGACGGCGCCCCTCGTGTCCAGCGGTTGCCGGTTCGCGGTTGGGTCCACCGACTTGGATCTTGGTCTTGGACCTTGCCCAGAGCATGCAGGCCCCGCACGAGGGGCGCGTGGCAGCGTCTCAGTGGCGTCTCTCGCCGCTCGCGAGCGTTGTTTGGGAGAAAGAGGGTGCACTACATCGATGGCGTATATAGAGCGTACGTCAAATCAAAGGTCACGGGGGCGGGGGGGGAGGCTTTCGATCCCCCCTCCCAACGAATGCAAGCGGGGCCCCTCGCAGCGAGGGGTAGGCGGGCCAACGGCGCTCACTCGTTCTCCTCGGACTTGAGCTTGGCGCCGCCGTTGAGCACCTTGATGTTCAGCTGCGCCGCACGCTCCACAATCTCCTTGCGCTTGCGCGCAGAGACATTGTGCGCAATCTCCGCCGCATACCTGCAAGGGGATGAGGGGCGATAGCGTTGGATGGCGCGCTGGGTTGAGGGGCGGAGCGCTGCAAGGCGGATGCGGCGGTGGCAGGGCGGGAGAGCAGGGTTGAGCGAGGCGCCGCGGCGAGGAGGGGAGGGGAGCCGAGCAGCGGCCGGGTGGGGGGGGGGGGGGCACCGGCGGTTCTGCATCAGAAGGACGTCGAGCTCCTTGACGGTGCTCACGGTGAATTTGTAGAAGCCGCCGGGCAGCATGTGGCGCGTCTTCTTGTCCGAGCCGTAGCCCACATTCACAAGGAGCGTCAGGCCCTTGAACCTGCAAGAGGGCAGCCGGCCGAGGCTCACCACAAGCAGCGCAACAGAGCACGGCGGCCGTCGCGTGCGAGGGCGCAGCAGCTGCGGAGTCGGCACTGCCGCCGCGGCCCGGCTCCCAGCGCTGGCATGCTGCGGCGACAGCCCGCCCTCCCCGACGCAGCGAGCTTCAGCGCGGCGGGCTGGCAGGGTCTCTGCGCCTGCGCCGCTGCCGCGAGTCGATACCGCGGGGCTTCCTCCAGCTCTCCTTGACCTTGACAAACTCGTCGGACTGGTGACGCTTGAACTTGTTGGTCTTCTTCTTGACGATCTTCTTGTGCGGCAGCGGCACGGGAGCCATCGCAGCAGCGCAGAGCGACTGCGGCAGAGAGAGAGACGGCATCTCTCAGAGGACGCACAGCGCCAGCGGTGCGCGGCAAGCGCCGCCACCGGACGAGAACAGAGCAACAGAGGGGGACGGCGGCACAGTGTGTGGGACAGGGGGCTTGGGCTTCCGGGTGGGCGCAGCGGCAGAGCAGCCACCCTGGAGAGGCTGCCTCGCGCAAGACAGAAAAGAATTCCGTCTGCTCCTCGACACTAGGATCCCTCGCCTGGTCTGGCCGATTCTTTTCGCGGTAACGTATCCGCGGGATATGGCGGGATATGGCGGGATATATGGCGGGATACCGCGGGATACCGCGGGATACCGGGAGATACCGGGAGATAAGAGATACGGGGAGATACGGGGAGATACGGGGAGATGCGAGAAGATGCGAGGAGATGCGGGGGAGATACGGGGAGATAGGGGGAGATACCGCAAAAGAATCGGCCAGACCAGGGCTACTGGGCGTGGGACTGGCACTAACACAGACAAAATCTCTCTCTCTAAACTTAATTCCCAAGGCGCAAGGGAGTACAGGTCCCGGCTTCGGTTTCGCAACAGCTTCGTTTTCACAACACGGCCGCCTCGAGACGCCGCGCCGTCGTGCAATTCGTGCCCGAGCCGTCCACAAGGCCGCCGGCACATTTGCCAATGTGCCCGGAGCGCAGGGAGTCGATGGGGAGGCGGTGCCCGGTGCCGAACCTGTCCGCTGTCGGACCTAGACAGCGTTGTAAATCCCTGGGCGAGGGTGGTGGCGTCCCCGTCGGGTCGGATTGCAGTCATTAACCTCACACCCATGGCGGGGAGCTAAGAAGCGCACCCAGCGGGCCGGATGCTCGGGGGCGGGCTTACGCAAGAGAGCCCTAAGCGCCGAGGGGGATGCGCGGTCGCAGGGAAGGGGCCGTAAAGTAAAGACGGGTGTCCGAGGGTTGGCCCCGCGTACCGGGTTTCCCCTTAACTGCAGGGGGACGCCCCCTCTACCCGGAGCTAATGGACACGACACTGTACACCACTCACCTCTACGCAGACACTTCATACATAGACCTCCGTCCGTCTCGGGGTTCACCACCCGTCAAAAGAAAGCAAGCAGACAGCACAGACAACCCAAGGGAGGGATGGGAGGACGGCACGCCGCCACCACACGGGGATTTTAAGGAGAGGAGTGTGGTGCTAGCCATCACCCCCTAACACTAGAGAAAATTTTTCTTTTTTCTCGCTCCGGATGTAATGGCTACCACCGCCGTCTCGAGCATCACAACTCCGCGCCTCCTCCTCCGACCATTCGCACGCTCTGACACTGCCGCGATTGCCAGCCACTGCGGTGACCTCCGCGTCGCGCGCATGTGCCGTGTGGTGCCTCACCCGTACGGCATCGCCGAGGCGGAGTTCTTCGTGGACCAGGTCTGCTCGCGCGCTGACGGGAGGATTTACGCGATCGTGCTCGGCGGCCACGTTGTCGGCTGTGTCGGCCTCGAGTCCATCAGCGGCGAGAGCGCGACGCTGGGCTACTGGTCGCTCGCTTCTCTCGCGGCCCGTCGAGGCCGAGAGACGTCTCATGCTCTCGCCCCGCTCGCATAGGCTCGGCGCCGAAACTTGGGGACTGGGCGTGGCGACGGAGGCGGCGGGCGCGCTGATCGACCATGCCTTTGGTGGGCTGCTGGACGGCCTCGAGCGCATCGAGAGCGGCTACTGGTCGGAGAACGTCGGGTCGGCCAAGGTGCAGTCAAAGCTCGGCTTCAGCCTGCTTGGGCGCGGCCCGCTGCTCTGCCTCGCGCGCGGCTGCGAGCTCGAGCAGCAGTACACGCGCCTGACGCGACTCGAGTGGCACCGCAGGAGGGTCGCGCCGCCGCCTCCGATGTCCGCCTTCGAGCTGCTCGCCTCCTTCCCGCAAGGCCTGCCGCTGGGCCAGCTGAAGGCGGTCTGCACGCCGGCGGCGGACCGCGCCGCCTTCGAGGGCGACGAGACCGCCATCGAGGCGGTGTGGCGGGCGCGCCGCGCCAGTCAGCCCTCGCTCTTCAACGGGGCAAAGTTCCGGTTCGTGGGCGTCGAGGGCGGCACCGGCGTGGAGGGCGGCGGCGAGGGCGGGGTGGAGGCGAGGAGCGCGAGCGTGGTGCTCGGCCTGACGGACTACCGCTCCTTCCTCGGCACCAACTGCGCCGAGTCGTGGCGTGCGCTGCCGCCGGCGTGCCTCGCCTCGCCGCTCGGCAACGCGGCGGTCGTACGGACGAGCGACGGGTGCGTGGTGCTGCTGCGGCGGAGCGGCGACGTGGGCGAGTGCCCGGACACGTGCGTCATGCCGGGGGGGCACCCGGAGCCCGAAGGCATCGGCGTGGCCAGCTTGGAGGAGTGGCGCGGCGAGCGTGGCGCGAAGGCGCGCGCAGCCCCGGGCTGGTGCGAGGGCGTGGCGCGCGAGCTGTACGAGGCGATGACGCGCGAGGTGGTCGAGGAGACTGGCATCCCCCCCGCCGACCTCTCTCCGCCGCTCTGCCTCGGCTTCTCGCGGCGCGTGCTCCACCACCGCCCCGACATCATTTTCCTCATCGAGTGCCGCCTCGATAGCGCCGCCGTCGCCGAGGTGTACCGGACGGCGACCGGCGTGCACCGCGACGAGTCGACCGCGATCGAGCTCGTCCCCCAGCAAGAGCTGCTGCGGCGCGCTCTCGACGAGGCGGCGCTGAACATGCCCGGCTGCCACCTCGGAGGGCTGGCGCTGTTCCGGAAGCACCGCGAGGCCACAGGCACAGCTCGTACAAGCTAGCATCGGACTTTTGTTCGTAGCTGCTCCATGTTCTTGTCGCCGCTGATTGCGCGCGACAGCGCTCGAGCAGCATCAGAGTCGAGGGAGGCAGTTGTGCTTTTCTGTGTTCCTGCGGATTTGGAGCACCATTGTGGAGTGCGGTGTCATTAGCCTCACATCCAGGCCGCGGGGAGCTTAGAAGCGCACTCCCCAGCGGGCTGGATGATCGGGATAGCGCAAAACAGACTAGCGCCGAGGGTGACTGTCGTCCTCACGATGGGGGGGACTAGCACTAGCCGTCTTCCACACGGTCCCTCGGGTCCCTGCTGCTCCTAATCTCTTCAACTTCATACAGCCTCCCTCAAGATACACTCGCGGCATACATTATTGCCCTCGCTCGTCCCGGGGTCCCCCGAGCCCCGTCCTCTGAGGGCGGGTGTAGAGGGATCCTGTAGAGTGTGTAGAGCGCTGTAGAGCTGTAGAGATGTAGAGCCGTGCCGAGCTCGAGAGCTCTGCAGCGCTCTACATCTCTACATCCCTGCAGCTCAACAGCGCTCTACACCCTACATCCTCTACACCCTCCCTCAGCCCGTCCTCCGCCTCCTCCCAGGGCAAGCCCCCGTCCTGGCTCGCTCGCTGACTCACGTTTCGAGCGTTGTCGGACTTCCTTACCGAAATCTTTTCTGGGGTACCTTTGTTAGTGCCAGTGCGCCCCAGTCCCGTGCCTATGTGTTGTGAGAGAGAGATTCTAAAATTCTTTTCTGTCCGCAGTCCGTGCCAGTCTGCTGTGAGAGGGGCTGACGGTTAGAATTCTTTTCTGTCTTGGAGGAGCGAGGCCCCCTCTGAGCTCTGTGCGCTGCCTCTGCCGCTGTAAGCTCGGGCGACGACGGCTTACCGCTCCCGCCTCCCGGGCCCTCGGCACCTCCCGCTTGAACCAGGCTTGAACCCGTGAAGCTTCCCCGTGCAGGGCCAAGGGTTCATGACAACTTGCAAACTTGCTGCTTTCCGTTCGGGAAATGGAGCCTTCTCCTTCTGACAACGAATGTGAGGCTCCACATTTGCGACGGAGAGGTATACTCCCTTGGGAATTATGTTGCGTCGGGAATTCTTTTCTGTGTTCCTGTGTTAGTGCCAGTTCCACGCCCAGTAGCCCTGGTCTGGCCGATTCTTTTGCGGTATCTCCCTCTATCTCCCCCTATCTCCCCGCATCTCCCCCGCATCTCCTCGCATCTTCTCGCATCTCCCCGTATCTCCCCGTATCTCCCCGTATCTCTTATCTCCCGGTATCTCCCGGTATCCCGCGGTATCCCGCGGTATCCCGCCATATATCCCGCCATATCCCGCCATATCCCGCGGATACCGCGAAAAGAATCGGCCAGACCAGGCGAGGGATCCTAGTGTCGAGGGGGAGACGGAATTCTTTTCTGTCTTGCGCGAGGCAGCCTCTCCAGGGTGGCTGCTCTGCCGCTGCGCCCACCCGGAAGCCCAAGCCCCCTGTCCCACACACTGTGCCGCCGTCCCCCTCTGTTCTCGTCCGGTGGCGGCGCTTGCCGCGCACCGCTGGCGCTGTGCGTCCTCTGAGAGATGCCGTCTCTCTCTCTGCCGCAGTCGCTCTGCGCTGCTGCGATGGCTCCCGTGCCGCTGCCGCACAAGAAGATCGTCAAGAAGAAGACCAACAAGTTCAAGCGTCACCAGTCCGACGAGTTTGTCAAGGTCAAGGAGAGCTGGAGGAAGCCCCGCGGTATCGACTCGCGGCAGCGGCGCAGGCGCAGAGACCCTGCCAGCCCGCCGCGCTGAAGCTCGCTGCGTCGGGGAGGGCGGGCTGTCGCCGCAGCATGCCAGCGCTGGGAGCCGGGCCGCGGCGGCAGTGCCGACTCCGCAGCTGCTGCGCCCTCGCACGCGACGGCCGCCGTGCTCTGTTGCGCTGCTTGTGGTGAGCCTCGGCCGGCTGCCCTCTTGCAGGTTCAAGGGCCTGACGCTCCTTGTGAATGTGGGCTACGGCTCGGACAAGAAGACGCGCCACATGCTGCCCGGCGGCTTCTACAAATTCACCGTGAGCACCGTCAAGGAGCTCGACGTCCTTCTGATGCAGAACCGCCGGTGCCCCCCCCCCCCCACCCGGCCGCTGCTCGGCTCCCCTCCCCTCCTCGCCGCGGCGCCTCGCTCAACCCTGCTCTCCCGCCCTGCCACCGCCGCATCCGCCTTGCAGCGCTCCGCCCCTCAACCCAGCGCGCCATCCAACGCTATCGCCCCTCATCCCCTTGCAGGTATGCGGCGGAGATTGCGCACAATGTCTCTGCGCGCAAGCGCAAGGAGATTGTGGAGCGTGCGGCGCAGCTGAACATCAAGGTGCTCAACGGCGGCGCCAAGCTCAAGTCCGAGGAGAACGAGTGAGCGCCGTTGGCCCGCCTACCCCTCGCTGCGAGGGGCCCCGCTTGCATTCGTTGGGAGGGGGGATCGAAAGCCTCCCCCCCCGCCCCCGTGACCTTTGATTTGACGTACGCTCTATATACGCCATCGATGTAGTGCACCCTCTTTCTCCCAAACAACGCTCGCGAGCGGCGAGAGACGCCACTGAGACGCTGCCACGCGCCCCTCGTGCGGGGCCTGCATGCTCTGGGGGCAAGGTCCAAGACTCTTCCAAGACCACAAGAGTTTCCGCGGTGGACCCAACCGGCAAAAGCCAAAACCGCTCGACACGAGGGGCCGTCTCGAAGCCGTGCAGCAGGGGCACCCCAGGCGCACGCGCAGGGACCCCAGAGGCTGCCGCCTGCGGCACGGCCTGGGGAGGCGCAACACGCGACCGGCGGGCTCCTGTGAAAAAAGAGGTACATCGCACAAATGATTTGTGCAGCGCATCTCCGGCTACGACACTCCAGCCGACCACTGCGTCCCCTTGCCCCGCACGCCCAGCCGCGCCGACTCTTGCCTGCGTCGTGCTTTGGCCAACCGGTCGTACATGAGGATCGAGCCCGCCACGGCCACGTTGTACGATGCATAGTTCTCCGACTCCAGCGAGACGGTCGCATGACACGCGCGCAGCACAGAAGTCGGCAGGCCCGCGTCCTCCGAGCCGAGCAGGTAGATGGCGTTGGGCGGGTGCTCGAACTCTGAGAGCGGCGTGCCGCCGAACTCGACAGCGACCCACAGCGCCCCTTTCGGCGCACACGTCTCGACGAACGCATTCCAGTCATCCAGTTCTAAGAACGGGACGCGCTGGATGGCGTGCACCGTGTCTGTGGGCTGGTTCTTGTACCGCGTGCCGACTGTGAAGAGCAGGCTCGCGCCGAGCTGATACGCCGAGCGCCAGAGGGTGCCCAAGTTGGCTTGATTCTTCGCGCCAACTACACCGATCCCAAAGTATCCGCCTTTTGCAAGCTTCCCCGATGGCTGCGCCGCCTGATCGGCGCGCGCTGCATCGAACGAGGCGGCAGCGCGGCGAAAGAGTTTGACGTCAATGCGGCGAGCCACGGGAGAGCCATCAGGCGCCTCGGCGCACAGAGGAAGGAGTGCGTCGGCGGCGTCGTTCGCGTCGGCGTCAGCGTCAACCACGTCGCGCAATACCGGCATCCACGAACCTCTCGAGGCAATCGTCTCGTAGACGCAGACATAGAACCGCGTCAGGTCAACGCCGTCATTTGCGAGGCAGCGGAGCAGCTCCAAGCCGGTGGCCGATGCTGCACTCGAGGGCTCAAACTGGCAAAGGCGACCTTGTGCCAAGGAGCCACCGTCGTACATATAGCGCACGAGCACTGTTGACGACGTGCCGTCGAGAGATGGGCCAATGGGTTTCCCCGATAGGTGCTCGCGGAGGTCCATACGGCAGAGCAGTGGGAGGAAGCAGAGCCCGCGCGCAGCTGCCACCGTCGCGTGCGGAGGCGCGCTCCTCATCGGATCCCTCATCTTGAAACCACGCGGGCGAGAGGCGGGGTGGGCAGTCCCACGCTCGTCGGTGTCGCCCTGAGGGAGGGCGGAGGGTGTAGAGGATGTAGAGTGTAGAGCGCTGTAGAGCTGTAGAGATGTAGAGCGCTCTGGAGCGCTGTAGAGCTGTAGAGCTCTACATCCGCCGCGTGACGAGGCGCCTGCGTTGTAGAGCGATGTAGAGCGCGATTTTGCTGTAGAGTTTGTTGTAGAGGCTCTACAGCCAAACCGCCAAGGCAGTGACTCAAAGAGGTCGAGCCGCGCTAATGGGGTGTCTCCGAGCTTACTGGAGCTCTGATGGACAGCCCTGACTATCCCTGACACACAGAGAGTCACTCCGACGGCACACAACACCCTATAACTGCGTCATGACCAGCCTGCCATGTGTCGCCGGTGCCGCATTCGTCGCTGTGCTTCTTTAGCAGGCGGTGGACTGTCGGCTGCGAGGACGGTCGCATTTGCGCGAGGCGAGGGGATCATTGTTGAGCGTTGCATGAGCCATGACTCGCGCCAGCGCGTGCGGGAGCTCCTGGCTGAGCGTTGAGTCCAGGCGAGTTGCGCTGGCCACGATCGCTACGCCGAGCCGAGCTGACGCGCCGAGGCGCCGGCCAGTCGCAGCCGTGAGGCATGCCACAGCAGCAGAGGCACCTCCTACCCATTGGGCGGGCAGACAGAAGGCCAGGGCAGCACTGGCAAGTGCAACGCGCCTCATGTCGGAGAGCGACCGTGCCTCGTTCGCCGCTTATGATGTAGAGTTTGTTGTAGAGATTTCACGTTGTAGAGCGCCTCTACATCGCTCTACAACGGAGGCGCATCGTCACGCGGTGGATGTAGAGCTCTACAGCTCTACAGCGCTCTCCAGCTCTACAGCTCTACAGCGCTCTACACTCTACATCCTCTACACCCTCCCTCAGGTGTCGCCACCGCGGCTGCGGGGTTGATAGCAGGCCGGCTGCGGCTCCTGATGTACCTCCGCTTTTGGGTGGCGGTCGCGCGCTGCCGACGGCGCTCGCCGGCGTTCGCGGCGCTGCGGCGCTCGCGGCGCGCTCGTGGCGTTC